CCTGCTCTGCCTCTGCAGTCGGGTCCATGTCGTCCACTTCCAGGCCTTGCAGAAACTCCTTTATGGTGCAGGAAGTCCGGCATGGAGCATGCTGGCACATGCCTTCCTCCACCACCTCTGAGGGCTCTGGTACAACTGGCAGCTCTTTTACCTCCATTCAAGGGATCTTCTGCAAGACCTCTCTGAGCTCCAGTCTTCTACCAGGACCTCCTCAAGACCTGGAAGCTGGTCTCGGTGACCAGGTCTGTGGTGGGTACCAAGGGGGAAGATCTCCTCACAGAGCCCCTCTCACACAACCCCCACCTTGGTGTGCAGGTGGCGGAGTCCTCAGTACGCTGGAGGTTGGTCCTGGCAGATACCACCAGGACCATAGACTTCCTGAACTATGACTAGGGGGACTGGGTGGATCCCCTGGTGCTTGGCCAGTGCATGGGGCTCCCCACCCATCATGTCCCCCAGCGCATACTCAAGGCTGCCCTCCCCTTAGGCCTTCATGAGCGGGTTCTGTGGGAGGGTGCTCCCTGCATGCCCCTGGCCCTCTGTACTTTGTCATCGGGCAGCAGTCCTGCGAGCCCCCTGGCCACTCCCCAGCATAACCCAAGCCAGCTGCGTGAGCTGCAGTTGGTTCATTTCCAAACCATACCTAGGACACAGCTGTATATGTTCATACTCCATAACTTTCATTTCCTCACCCTTGTGTCCCACCCCGACACCAAGTGTTGGGACCTCCTACTACCTGTGGAGGGTGAGGAGCCCCAGTGGGCCAGCCTGTATTCCACCTTGGCCCACTAGGGATATTAGTTGGTGGCTCCTTCATGGAGCCATGAGCATGGGCATGTACTTGGCGTGGTTCACCCCACCGCTTCTGGACACTGACCACTTCTGCGGCATGAGGGAGACCCTGGTGCACATTTATATAGAATGTGCCAGGTTGCAGCCCCTTTTCCAGCTCCTCTAGAATCTTCTCATTCAATTCTGGCTGCACTTTCCCCCACACCTCCTAATATATGTAAACTCCATCCATGGCCCCACGAATTTGCGAGAACTCCTCATCAAGCTCCTCCTGGCACTGGCCAAGGTGGCCATCCGCCATACCAGGAGGAGGATGCTGGACAGGGAGGTGCTCTGAGACTGAGGGAGGAACATAAATAGGCCCTATAGATCATGTGTCAGGGCAGAGTTCTTCTGGGCTGTGTCCACTGGCTCCCTGGACACCTTCAAGGAGGAGGGGACGCTGTCCGGGGTTCTCTGCTCGGTGTCACCTTCTGCCTGCCTGATTTTGACCCTGTGACACTCACGCTTGTGCTTGTTTTCAATATTTGTTGCCCCCCGAACTTGCTTGAGCCCTGGGTCCAGTCGCTCCTTCCCTTAGACTGGGGGAGGGACATTCAGATGTGTGCGGGCTTGTGCCCACCCACCCCGCTGGGACGTCAATAGGTACTCATTCCCTGCACCCTATTATACAACTATTGCCTCCTAGTTTGTGCACTGGGCTGTGTTTCAGTGGTGTGAGGGCATGTGAAGTGCTTCGGGATCCTTCAGGCTGAAAGGCACTATACAAACATAGCTGCCTGTTTTAAAAGACTATGTAAATACCTTTTATAGAAGATGGTTTCCGGGATTCACTTCCAATCACTTACTCCCCGCAGCCTGTTTCTGTCTAAGCTGCAGCTTCTTGCTAGGTAAAGGTTTTTACTCCTCCTTGACCTTGCATATTTTTCTGGGTCAGGCCTTGTGTGCTGCTAGTTCATATTCCAGATTTTCTTCCCAACTCTGTGCCAACCCCAGCATTTTGCCTCTTCCTCCTTGGGCTGCACCTGCTGTGCTGTGCTTTCTGTAGCACCTTATTATATATAATTGCCTGCCAGCAGTCTGTAGGCCCTCTGTGTCTTTCTTGACTTCCTGTCACTGCAGCTGGCAGAGGAGGCAAATAATGTAAATGCCCTGGATAAAGCACACAGGAACAGTTGCTAATTATTAGAAGTTATAATTATGAGACTGATTCTCGACATGCTGTGCAGCTACAAAACGAGCAGTAAAAATTTTAATTCTCACTAGCCAACAGCAGCAGCAGTATTATTATTATTATTCCAAGACAAAAGTGCATTAAAATGGAGTTAAGATTGAGAGTATGTGTCAGTAATTTAAGGGTAAAAATAATTACAGGGATGTTGTAATTATCCTAAACCAAGCATTACAAACCCAGGACTTTCAGAGTTAAGATTACTTAAAAGAAATCCAGACATGTTAAGGTATGGAAATCCATAGTTCAAGCCCCCAGACAACTTAACTTTGCCTTGTAGGGATGTCATGCGATATCCATATGATCATGATTAAGGGATTTTAGTGTTTGTGTAACCCACACATCGCCTGGGTGTGCTGTTCTGTCCCATCTAGTGGCACCAAGGCCACTTAGAGAGAGAGATTAATGAGTCTGCTCTACAGCCTTAGGTAATAGCCAGTTTGCTTTTAGCTCATGCAGTAGTGGCTCATGCATATAGCTACCAGAGGTCACAGGTTCTATCCCGCCCACCCACAAGTGTTACATTTGCAATCTGTAATTAGAGTAAACTGACTTTGAAAGGCACATTAGAATTTTTTGGTTGTTTCTCCCCCCGCGGCGTCACTACAGGGAAGAATTAAAGATAACTCTGGTCGGAATAGCTGGTGAAAGGTAGTAAGTCACACAAGCTGGACCACGGTCTATCTGTTTGTGACTTCTGAATGCTGGAGGGATGAATATATGCCTGTCTACATCACTGGTTACTTGTGTTTTTCAGCTAGGGATAACAGAAACAGTTAATAGTAACTATGATTACAAATAGTAACTATTACAAAGGCAGGAAACGTTCACTACTATGAACTGTGCACATGCTGAGATTATTTGGAGTTATTTTACAATTTACATCTTACTTTTTTATATATGGAAAGGACTATGGCCCTGATCCTGCAGCTTCTTGCACATGGGTGGATTTTTGTGCCTTCACAGGCCCACAGTGAACTTCATGGGATGATGTGTGGGCAACAACAGTCCACCTGAGTGTTGTGAATTCCAGGATGGAGGTCTAGTCTATATAAGGCCAGATCCTGATCACATTGAAGTCAATGGCAAAATTTACATTTTCACTGGGAACGGTATTTTGCCCAGAAAATATACAGTGCACACTGTAAACACCTTCAAACCAATTTATCATGTACTGCTACAAGTATATCAGTGCAATGCTGAGTTTGAGGATTTAAAAGCAAACCCGTCAGAAAATTCAGAAATTCTACCACAGCAACCATTATTTGCTGCTGTTATACCAATGTAATGTTTGGCACTTCAGAGCTATATTTATAATTATATTATTGCTTTAATACAGTATATATGGTGGAATGTGGCTCGGTAGTAGATGCAGTGGAAACAATCATTTTTAATTTCCTAACTTTTATGCATTTACACCCTCATTTATGCATTGAAATTCCTAGTTGGGGTTCGTTTTGTAAGAAAAAAAATTCCTACTTGATATTTCACTAAATTGTTCGTTTTCATATTGTTTGTCTTTCCCCAGGTATTGTTGTACTATTTAGTTTGATGCTCTGCTAGCAGAAAATAGTTGTCCAATTTTTTGGCTCCTTATATTTAGTCATCCTTCTCATTATATGTGAAAAGTCACATATAATCTTTGTTAATTCTGATATTTACTAGGAATTGAGTTGTCTTTGTTAATATAAAATTGATTTAATAAATACAAGGAAAGGACAAAATACTGTTCTCCTTGTTATATAATTACCATTCAGATCCTTCTGTCAAGTCCATGAGCTGTAAGTTTGACAGGAAAGACAGCAGGGCAGTCTTATTCTAACTAATAAGTAATACTTCATTAGTACACACATCAGAATAAAAATACTGCAACTATAGTAGGATATAATTGTCTGGCTATTGTGGCATACTAACACTAGATGGCAGTGTAACAATTCACTATATTATGGAAACAGGTTGAGCTCCAAGCCTTATTCTTCCAAAAATTTAGTGAGATATTTCATGGGTTACTGTCTTCAGTTAAAGTATTTGTATTTAAAAACAGCCATGGAAGTTGTCAAGGTTCCTTCCCCACTCTGAACTCTAGGGTACAGATGTGGGGACCTGCATGAAAGACCCCCTAAGCTTATTCTTACCAGCTTAGGTTAAAAACTTCCCCAAGGTACAAACTTTGCCTTGTCCTTGAACAGTATGCTGCCACTACCAAGTGTTTTAAGCAAAGAACAGGGAAAGAGACCAGTTGGAGACGTCTTCCCCCAAAATATATCCCCAAGCCCTACACCCCCTTTCCTGGGGAAGGCTTGAGAATAATCCTCACCAATTGGTACAGGTGAACACAGACCCAAACCCTTGGATCTTAAGAACAATGAAAAATCAATCAGGTTCTTAAAAGAAGAATTTTAATTAAAGAAAAGGTAAAAGAATCACCTCTGTAAAATCAGGATGGTAAATACTTTACAGGGTAATCAGATTCAAAACATAGAGAATCCCTCTAGGCAAAACCTTAAGTTACAAAAAGATACAAAAACAGGAATATACATTCCCTCCAGCACAGCTTATTTTACCAACCATTAAACAAAAGAAAATCTAACGCATTTTCTAGCTAGATTACTTACTAACTTAACAGGAAGTTAAGGCTTGCATTTCTGATCTGTTCCCGGCAAAAGCATCACACAGACAGACAGAACCCTTTGTTTCCTCCCCCCTGCCTCCAGATTTGAAAGTATCTTGTCCCCTCATTGGTCATTTTGGGTCAGGTGCCAGCGAGGTTACCTTAGCTTCTTAACCCTTTACAGGTGAAAGGGTTTTGCCTCTGGCCAGGAGGGATTTTATAGCACTGTATACAGAAAGGTGGTTACCCTTCCCTTGATATTTATGACAGAAGTGTTGAGAATTCTTCAAGTAACTATAAAAATCTGTAGAACAATATTAATCTATGATGCCAATATTGGTGCTTGGAATGCCTATAAAGTACTGCAGGTGTCCCACGGCAGGTACTCTTTGACAAGGTCATCTCTTCTCAACACATCTGCTTGGTGGTGGACTTAGCCCTATCATTCAGACAGGGAGAAAAAGAGGTAAACAAGGAGAGAGAATCATTAAGGGGAACAACGTATAAGGGAAGATGCAACGGATAAGGGGGAAAGGAACATCTCAAAAGAAAGGGGATGCTGCTCTGGCGTATTAAAAATATTGACCCAAATTCTGCTTTTGATCCCACTGATAGAAAACCATCAGGAAATTAACATGTCGATGTAAGAAAGGGAAAGACACAAGAAGGGGAAAAAAAGGGGAAAAGAAAAAACAAAACATGAAAAAAGAGAGAAGTTGTAGGATAGAAGGAACTGAAGATGTCAAAAAAAAAAAGGAGAAAAGACACACAATGCAAAGCCTGTATTAGGGTCGTGAACTGTCATTTATTTAGCCATCTAGCAGCAATATTTTGCTAACAAAAATCGAATCAAGTTGTTGTTCCCTCTTGGGTATGATGGTCTGTATTTTTAAAAAATTCCATACTACCATAGCAGGTAACCTTTATTTCTAAGTGTCATGTCCTGACAATAATTAAAATAAACTGGAGATCACCAGAATGCAACTGCAGGTACTTTAGCAGAGCTACCGTATTGTAATTTTAGTGCAAAAATAGCCACATCAGTGTATTACGTTTTCCTTATGTTCACCTGTGTTTCCACCTGTAATAGTCTGATGTAAGAGTGTTCTGGACCCACCCTTACTTTTCTATCTCTACTGTTCTTTCCATTAGATTGTTGCAAGGCTGCACCAATGCTTGCTTTCTTTTTTGAGGGTGTGTCAAGTCTTCATGTTCAGTTTTGAAGCAGCAACTTTGGAGCCCATTATGTGTATGTGGTGGAACAAGAGCAGGTAGCTCAGAAACATCATATAATTATACTATAATGCAATTTTTTTTCTTGGATCCATTGATATCTGTGCATTTTTTTCAACTTGGTAAAGATCAGTTTTAACATTTCCTGTGTTTTGATTCATGCTACGATGCTCTAGATCAGTGGTTCCCAAACTTATTCCACCACTTGTGCAGGGAAAGCTCCTTCCGGGCCTGGCCGGTTTGTTTACCTGCCGTGTCTGCAGGTTCAGCCGATCGTGGCTCCCACTGGCCATGGTTCGCTGCTCCAGGCCAATGGGAGCTGCTGGAAGCGGCATAGGCCGAGGGACATACTGGCCGCCGCTTCCAGCAGCTCCCCTTGGCCTGGAGCAGTGAACCGTGGCTAGTGGGAGGGCGATCGGCCGAACCTGCGGACGCGGCAGGTAAACAAACCGACCTGGCCCAGCAGGGGCTTTCCCTGTACAAGCGGCAGAAGAAGTTTGGAAACCACTGCTCTAGATACACTTAATCCTGCATTAGCACAGGCAGATGGACTAGATGACCTCTTGCAGTTCCTTCCAGTGCTATATTTCTATATTTATTATTAAGAAGAATTATATCCAGGCATCTTATAGCAATTGATAATGTCAGGGACCATACCAGTTAGGACTAGCTGCTGGCCTGCTCCCTGACTACCTTTGCTGCTAGGCAACCAATCAGGCTCCCCAGCAGGGTTTCTGACCATCAGTTGGCTTGGCTGAGTACAAAAAAGAGTGTGGAGTGGCTCCATGGATACTGCACAGATGGCTGTTGCAGATCCACTCAGGCTGGAGATGGTACACAGATGGTATTCAGACAATGAAATCTGAAAAAAAATGCGATTCGTTCAACATGTTACTGTACAATGTATCTTTTAAATTTCACAAATATAATAAACTCACCACCCTGCTTTGTCCTTGAAGTTCAAGACCATCGATATGTAGAGCCCAGCTGCAGGCCCTTGGAACTAAAAGAGTGGCCACTGCCCCTGACTGGCCTATAAACATGCCCTCTACAGCAGACCAGTGGCTGCTCACTGTGTACCCCGCCTACAGCTGCCCCTGCTCTGTGCCACCTCCTGCTTTGTTCCAGTGCTGCCTTCCAGCCTCTGCTCCTGCTCTTCTGTTCCCCTCCAGCTTTAGACTTCTGGCTTTGATCCTTGGCTAGGGTTGCCAACTGTCTAATCACGCAAACCCAAAGACGCTTGCCCCACCCCTGCCCCAAGGCCCCACCCATGTCCCGCCCCTTCTCTGAGGCCCTGCCCCCGCTCACTCCATCCTACTTCCCTCCATTGCTCGCTCTCCCCCCGCCCCCCACGTTCACCAGGCTGGGGCAGGGGGTTGGGTACAGGCTCTATGTTGTGGCAAAGGGTTGGGGTGTGGGATGGGGTGCAGGGCACAGGCTCTGGGAGGAACTTTGGGTCCAGGCTCTGGGCTGGGTCAGGGGGTTGGGGTGTGGGGTGCGGGCTCTGGGAGGGAGTCTGGGTGCAGGAGGGGGTGCAGGTTCTTGGAGGAAGTTTGGGTCCAGGCTCTGGGCTGGGGCAGAGAGTTGGAGTGTGGGGTGCAGATTCTGGGAGGAAGTTTGGGTGTGGGCTCTGGGCTGGAGCAGGGGGTTGGGGTACAGGAGGGGCATCAGGAGATTGGCGCTTTCCTCGGGCAGCTCCCAAAAGCAACCAGCACATCACTCTGGCAGCAGCTCCTAGGTGGGGGAGTCAGGGGGTCTCTGTGTGCTGATGTCCTCAGGCACCGCCCCCACAGCTCCCACTGGTCACAGTTCCTAGCCAATGGGAGCTGCAGAGTCAGCACTTTGGGTCGGGGCAGTGTGCAGAAACCCCCTACCCCCACCCCACAGGGGCTACAGGAATGGTGCTGGCCACTTCTGGGAGTGGCGCAGAGCCATGGCAAGTAAGGAAGCCTGCCTTAGCTCCACTGCCGTGCCAGACTATTAGCACCCAAAATCTCCCGGTTTGGCTAAAGTAGCCTCCGGGAGAGAGAGCTTGATTCCAGGAGACTCCTGATGAAAGTGAGAGGGTTGGCAACCCTATCCTTGGCTCTGGCTTATGACTCTGATTGACCCTCTGGTTCTGACATTCGACTTCTGTCTCTCTGGTACTGATCCCTGGCTCCACCTCTGGCTTATGATTGTGGTTTACCTTTGGCTCTGGCCTTGGGCCTCTGACCCACTCAACTTGCAGAGCAGAAGAGAATTGGGCCCATGTGCTGCATATCGATAGTCTTAAACTTCAAGGACAAAGCAGCGTGGTGAGTTTATTATATTTGTGAAATTTAAAAGATACATTGTACAGTAACATGTTGAACGAATAGCATTTTTTTTTAGATTTCATTGTCTGAATATCATCTGTGTACCATCTCCAGCCTGAGTGGAACTGCAACAGCCATCTGTGCAGTATCCATGGAGCCACTCCACACTTCTTTTTGTACTCAGCCAAGCCAACTGATGGTCAGCAACCCTGCTGGGGAGCCTGATTGTAGAGAAGCAAAGGGGCTTGTAATTTAGTCCATTCTACAATATTTTGACTGTGATATGGTCTGTAACTAATGTGATAAACTCAGGACAGACAGCTGCAAGGGCAGGGTAGAAAACAGTCCCAGAAGGGTAAAAGGTCCTCCTCCCTATCAACTGAGGAGGGGTGACTACAGGGCAATCAGATTCAGCTGAGCGGGGTTACCAGAGATCAGTTAGGATCAGCTGAGAGAGAGTTACCTGAGGTCAATTAGGATCAGCTGATTCCAACTAAGGGCTGCCGAAGACCTTTTTAAATCATCCCCTGTTGGAGAAAGGAGGGGGAAGTCGAGCTGCCAGTAGGTGAGGAGACTGCATTCCCTCCCATAAGGGAGAAAAACAAGCCTAAAAAGACTGGCTGAGAGAAGGAGCGGGCTGCCCCCGTGCAGCCAAGAGGGACTGTTTTACCCGAAGCTCGTCTCACTAAGGCTACAAATAGCTGAGGCTGGTGAGACTGAGAAGATGCCTTGCCACACTAAGGAGTCCAGTTTTCATTTTAAACCAAAGCCAACAGAGAGACCTAAATTTTACAAGCATCTGTTTTTAAAAGCAAGCCCTACAAAAAAAAGAAAAAAAAAAACAAACAGGAAAGGGCAATATTCTTTTAGAAGGTCATCCAGTAGAATTCATCCTATTTGCCATCTCTGCTCTCCATTGTAATTACAACCCTGTACCTCTTCCTCTTTGAACTCTCACTTCTTGCATAACAGCAATATGGTAAGATGCTTTTGTGTATGTGATGATCCCAGTGTAGGAATGTAGGATGTGAAAAAGGATATGAGGCTATTTTAAACATCTCCCAAGGTTTTCTTCTTTCTTTTTTTTTTAATTCTATTTTATTTCTGTTTATTGCTCAAATGTTTGCTGTTACAATTCAAATAAACTCCAAAAATGATATTAAAAAAATAAAACTGGAAGACACTAGTTGCAAAATATAAACATTGAAAATGAGTAAAAATTAAAACAAACTCAGGATCTTTAGGTGTAACACAAGGCAGCTTGACAAATAATTCATCAGTGTAATTGAAAAAATCTAATTTGAGTGGAACAGTAAAAACCACAAACAAAGTCCCTGATCCTACACTCTGCTCCACATGCACTGATCTTACCCATGCAGTGTAAAGACATGGTAGTTTGCCTGTGTGGAACAAGATGCAATATTGTGGCCAGTATGGATACTTTGTAATGATACATAATCCCATTTCAAAATCTCTAACTCGACAAAATAACTCTGATGTACTAAATCTTTCTTTGGGCCCATTTGTTTCACACACAATGACACCCGAGAAACTAAATAACTGACTACTGAATGTCAATTTTTTCTTTATTAAAAAAATAAAAATCAAGTATTCACTAGTTACAGAGATCAGCTACAATATACGTGCCTCCTAATGATCACGTAAACCACACTTGTTGAATGCACATCAAGTCTTTCCCCATTACAAGAGTAACTTTGAATGAAGAGAAGCATGTTTTTTATATATATAGTGGGATGTGGAGGAGGAATCAGAACACAGCACTCATTTGTCTTTTGTAGCAGTTTCTGTGGCCAAGATTTTCAAAAGTGTGTAGTGATTTGGGTTGCCTCAGTACTTGGGTGTCAAATTTGAGCCTGGGTCCTGATTTTCAAAAAGTACTGAGGGAAAACAAAGCACTCTTAAGATTTTTTTTCAAGTTGTCCACTCAAAAATTGAGGCATGCAAGATTATTAAACACTTTTGAAAATCTTGTCCTATGTTTGTACTTTCAGGATCCTGTATACAGATTCAGACATATTAAGATTCCATGTTAATATGTTCAATTAATTAGGTCCTCCTAATTTCAACAGAGTGATGCTGATTTACACAAGATGAGAAATTGGACTGATAGGTTTATAGAGTAATTTCTATAGAACCATATTAAACCTATTAATTTCCAGTCTTTTATGGAAAAATATTATAGAATTTAAGAGTATGTGGAATTTTTTCTAAATTAAAGGAAAACAAGATGTTCACTAATAGTTATTAGTCAAAACCAGAAGGATTGAAGTAGACCTAACACCAATGTTTTTTTGGATCATACATATCATCACAGATCATAGATACATATTCTGAGTGTGGACATGTATAGGTTTTCCCTTAATGTCTTTCTGCTTGGATACCAAAACACAGCTAGCACTAGATGTGTACACTTTGTCACATGTACATGCAGTCTAGTACTGAAACAAACACAGGAACCCAATGACCCACAGAATTGCTGAAGAGTCATGCAGGAGAGTCATTGTGGGTTATGGATTGTGGCGCCATTGTGCATGAATGAAAATGTCTTATTATTTGTATTAGTACTTACATCTTTCAGTGAATTCAAAAAACGAACATTCCCCATGAATCTGGAAAGTCATGGAACTATACATAACTTTTTCCTTTTTTATTCACTGGTCAGTTGCAAAATGGAGGCTGGGCATTGTCCCTTAGATGAAAAATGAAAGCCATGTAGTCCTATTGTTTATAGCTTAAAAAAAAGAGAGAGAGAGAGAGAGAGTATTGTAAAGAATAAACAACAATAACCAACATGCAGCTGGGTGTAAATGGATTGGTTTGCCTGATCTATGTTATGTGATGTCCATTCCTTTGTTATGCTAAGTATTTTCCATTTGGGTGAGATGGTATTTTTTGTGCCCTTATGTCTACCAGCAGATCTGATCCAGACTCTAATTATGTCTATATTTAGTCCAGCTAGTCACAGCTTGTTTGTTTGCAGAGTAGATAATGATACTGTATCTTGTTCATTGTTCTACCGACATTGCATATTTAGCAACCCGGAAGAACTATGGGTGGTTATCACAAATGTTTGCTTTTTTGTTGTTGTTTTGTTTTTGTTTTTGTCTGAGGGAAAGAAAGGTCAGGTAAAATTATTATTTATGAAAAGTGCCAAATTGGTAGCCTTGAAAACTGACTACATTGTCCACAGAGCAGACATCCAGTAGTAGTACATCTGGTTCACCCCTGAACTAGAGAGACTGTTACCCCAAAAATAGATTATGGAACGCCACTATATTAACCTTTCTATTACCCCCTTAGTCTGTCCTTCCCAAGGTAGAAGTTTCTAGGGTTGTTAAGGAAACACTAACGGACATGGATATAACCTTCCGATAAAGTAATTGACACAGGCAGTATTCTTTCCAAAACAAAGTATCTTTTATTAATGTAACTAATAATCCCTAATACACTGTATCTTAAAAATCCTAAACAAAGCACAAAATCCCTGAAACACAATCTCTTGTTGCAAATAGTTTAAATGATTCTAAGCAAAGCACTTTGTTACAAGTAGCCAGTTTGTAACAAATTGCTGACAGCAGTTCTTAAATTTGCTTTAAAAATTCCGTAAGTACAATACGAATTAAAACACACACACACACCCCCTCCTGGGTGTGGTGTTCTGTCCCATTTAGTGGCACTGCCAGCACTTAGAGAGAGAGATTAATGAGTCTGCTCTACAGCCTTAACTACAAGACAGTTGGCTTTTAGCTCATGCTGTAGAGGCTCTTATATTAAGTTCCAGAGGCCCCAGGTTCAATCCCACCCTCCGAAGACTGGGTCCATCAGTGTTACACATATTAAATACTATGCTAAACTATATTACAATAAAAATTAAAACTGTCAAGCTTACTTTACAAATCTGTTGGCATCCTTTTGAAATCACTGGTGCTGCCTTATAAATTCTTGGTATTTTTCTTTTGATCACTGTTGCTGCTCAGCTCCTGGTCAGCCACTCCAGTTTTCTTCTCTTTTTCTCTGCAGCAGCTTTTCTAACTTCTCTCCAGCAGCTCCTCTTTGGCTTCCCTTGCTGGCTTTCCTTGCTGGCTTCCATCTGCTTCCGATCGTTTGTGTCTCTCTCTCTCTAATTCGACTAAGGCCATGTCTACACTACCACTTATGTCAGCAAAACTTGTGTCACTCAGGGGTGTGAAAAAACACATGTACACAATGCTATGTTGGTGGGAGAATTTCTCCCACTAACATAGTTACTGTCGCTCATTGAGGTGGTTTTATTATGTTGTCGGGAGAGTTTTCTCCCATGAGCATAGAGCAGCTATACCAGTGATCTTACAACTGCGCAGCTGCATCAGTACAGCTGTGCTGCTGCAAGTTTGCTAGTGTAGACATGGTCTAAGAGTGATAAGACCACCTCTATTGGTCAGAGGGTTGTTCACTCTCTGTGGTAGTTGATTCCTTAAATTCTTAGTTTTTTTGAAACTGCCATTCAAGGTACTGACTGTTAAGATTTTTTTTAATGATGCTTATCAATTTATTTTGTGTTAGTTACCAAACAGCCCTCAGATAATAAAAACTTTTGATCTTTACCTACCTGAGCCAGACTATAGATGAGTCTCTGTGTCTCATTGCTAGACATCCAGATCTCCGACATACATTTCAATCCTAAATCCTTCCACATCAGAAACTAGAATTTCACTGCATAGCATTGTCTGTGGATGGAATATGGATACACCAGAACAGCCAGCATCAAATAATTAATAAAATGCTCAGTGTTTTTTTGAAAGGACTCAACATGATATTGCCATTTGTAGCAGGGTTGTTACCCTGCTCTGGCCCTGAAGAGTTAAAGCAGGCCTGGAGAGGGCTGCAGTGAGGAAGAGGAGTGAGAACAGCTGGGGGAAGCTGAGTGAGTAGCTGACTACAGCTGTGGCCAGCTTAATTAAGGCCCAGCTGGCCCTTATAAGAGGGCAATGGGCCAGAAGCTAGGAAGGATACTCTTTCCCTGCCTTTAGAGGGAGAAGGGCCTGGCTGCTGGGGAGCGTACCTAGGTACTTAAGGTGGAGTAAGGTTGGGGGAAGGCTAGAGGAACTGGGGAGCGCTGGCCTAGCATAAGGTCAAATAGATACTGGGGTTGCAGGGGATAGGCAAAGGCAGTAGGTCTAAACCCCCCTTGCCTGTGATGAGTGGTTTATATACTGCAGTCTGCCCCAGTGAACAGGGGCTAGATGGTGACTCCCTGTACTGAGGGAGGGTGGGGGTTCCCCCAGGGAGGGGAGACCCAGACTGAGGGGGTACTGCCGGGGGAAGAACTCTAATCTAGAAGGGGACCGGGAGGGGCACAGGGCAAGCGGCAGGCAGGACACCAACTGGCAGAGGGTTCTTCTGGCTGAAAAGAGCTAATTCCCTGGACAACCAGTAGGAGGTGCTGCAGCGGTGAGTCATTGCCTTGCCACACTATTTAAGGAACAAAGCAAATAAAACTTGAAGGACAAATGGATAACTGCATTGTCAAAGAGCCTAAAACAAGAAAGTGACTCTGCCCTTTGCAGATGGGGTTGAATCTAGATTGTCTTAGTGAATCTGTTTCAAAGAAGGGGTCCCAGGCTGTGTCATCTGAAGTACTCTCTTGGAGAGTTCTAGTGTGGTGTCCCATGATTATATATCAAGGCTGAGGCTTGGAGAACAGGGCAGGCATGTCTTGAACAGAACACTGCTCTGTTTATATGGAAGGAGCTAAATGGCAGGATCTTCTATGTGATCCACGACTGAAAAAAAGCCTTGAATTGTTGGAAGGTGAACAACTGATCTTTTCTAAAATCAACATGAGTAGCAGTGGCTGCATCAGTCTAGTGACCTCACCTGTCAGCTTATCTGTGACATGCTTTATGTGCCGAGAAGGGGAAGAACAATATAAAATACTAAATATGATATCAATACTGAGACAAGCAACCATTCTTGGTAGAATGCTGTTAAACAAATATGTTTAGGAAATCATCATTTTAAAATGGCGTGACCTGGCATCTCAGATCACTACATTCAAAGTGTCCTGGCTGGTGGTGAATGTTCTAGATCCTTAATGGAGGTCACATCCATTACTGCACAGATAAAAGTGCATAAAAACAAATTATCCTAGCAACTGTCCAACATTTTCTGGTGCCAAATTCCCTCTGAGTATATTGTACACCAACCACTTGGAACAGAAATGGGAGATTCTAGAAAAACTAGGTTTCACAAAACTTCTAACTCCAGATTTTAAGATCTACATGCATATTTGAGCCTAATTGCAGGCACACGTTTCAGAGTTAACGTGCTCATTCTCATTATTTGAACATGCAAATGACTACAACATTCAGCTGACTATTGCATATGCAATTGCCACAGTTCTGCACTCAAATTAAACATTGAATTCATATATTTTGGACCCAAAATGTTTTTTAAAGATCTTATTTTTAAAAAAAAATTGAATTCTGTTCTGGAAAACTGTTTTTGTCAGGCTGGGAAGGAAGATAGTCATCTGCTTAAAAGGTAAAAATTACTCTTCCTTTTCCCTCTCACTTTTTCCTGCAGTCTCTCACTCTAAAATAGCACAAAACTCTTCAAAGCAGAAGAGTGTTTGAATTATAGAATTCAGAAAGTTTGATAAAGGGCTGAATCTAAATCTGATTTCTCCCAATTATAAATGTGACTAATGCTGGAACCCTAAAATCTCTGAAAATAGAGAGGGAAGGGCAGTAGAGAGAAGGAGCAGAGAGATTAGGCAAAATGGAATGTCAGATGATGGGAAAAGGTGAAAGAGAAAAAGTGGGGAAGAGTAGATGGGTGGAAATTGTCCATTTCCACCTTGCTTTTTCCTCTTATCTTTCTCTCCTTCTACTCACAAGTTTATTACCATTAACTTCCCCCACACACAAAACACCCCAATAGCTAAGCCAAAGTCCTGCCCATTTATATACCATTTGCCCCTATTCATTTCACCAGATAAAATCTATTAGCAGAAATGAGGACAAAATTAAAATGCAAATGTTGCTACTAGAAGCTTCCTTAAGAATGCAAGCATGACCAAACTAGATCAGACCAATGGTCCATTGAGTCCACTAACCTGTCTTCTCACAGGGGCCAGTGCCAGATCCTCCAGAGGGAATGAACAGAACAGGGCAATTTTGAGTACTCCATCCCCTGTTGTCCCAACAGCTTCTGGCAGTTGGAGGTTTAGGGACACTCAGAACATGGAGTTGTATCCCTGACTAGCTTGGCTAATAGCCATTGATGAACCTACCCTCATGAACTCATCTATTTTTTTTTAACCCAGTTATAATTTTGGCCTCATGACATCCCCTGTAAATTAGTTCCATAGGTTGACTGTGCATTGTGTTAAGTATTTCTTTATGTATGTTTTAAACCTGCTGCCTATTAAGGTCATTTGATGACCCCACATTCTTGCATTACCTGAGGGGGGGTAAATAATATGTCCTGATTCACTTTCTCCATATCATTCATGGTTTTACAGACCTCTATCATATTCCTCTCTTAGTCATCTATTTTATAAACCAAACAGTGCCAGTCTTTTTAATCTCTCCTCATATGAAAGCTGTTCTATATCCCTAACCATTTTTGTTGCTCTTTCTGCTCCTTTCCAATTCTAATATATATATATATATTTCAGATGAGGTGACCAGAACTGCATTCAGTATTCAAGGGTGTGCCTTCCATGGATTTATACAGTTGCATTATGATATTTTCTTTTTATCATCTATCCATGTCCTAATGGGTCTTAACATTGTTAAGTTTTTTTTTTTTCAAGCTGCACACTGAGTGGATGTTTTTAGAGACCTATCCACAATGACTCAAAGATCTTTCTTGAGTGGTAACAGTTAAATTAGACGCCATCATTTTGTATGTTTGATTGGGATTATGTTTTCCAGTGTGGATTACTTTGCACTTTTCAACATTGAATTTCATCTGCTATTTTGTCACCCAGTTTTGTGAGATCCCTTTATAGCTCTTCACAGTCATCTTTGTAATTAATTATCTTGAGTAATTTTATATCATTTGCAAATTTTGCCACCCCACTGTTCACCCCCTTTTTCTAGATCATTTATCAATATGTGGAATACCACAAGTCCCAGTACAACTCCTTGGGGGACTCTATTTACTTCTCTCTATTGTGAAAACTGACCTTTTGTTTCCTGTCTCTTTAATCAGTTTTTGAACCATGAGAGGATCTTCCCTCTTATCCCAGGACTGCTTACTTTGCTTAAGAGCCTTTGGTGAAGGACTTGTCAAAGACTTTCTGAAAATACGAGTATGCTACATCCACTGGATCACTTTTGTCCACATGTTTGACCCTCCTCAAAGAATTCTAATAGATTGGTGAGGCATGATTTCCCTTTACAAAACCTATGTCAACTCTTCCCCAACTTATTGTGTTTATCTATGGTCTGATAATTTTTTGTTCTTTACTATAGTTTCACCCAATTTGCCTGGTACTGAAGTTAGGCTTCCCTGCCCATAATTTCCATAATTGTCTCTGGAGCCTTTTTTAAAAATAGCTGTTAAGTTAGCTACTCTCCAATCATCTGGTACAGAGTCTGATTTTTAAGTAATAGATTATATACCACAGTTAATTGTATTTTGATTTCATATTTTAGTTCCTTCAGAACTCTTGAGTGAAAGGGTCCTGGTGACTTATTACTGTTTAATTTATCAATATGTTCCAAAACCTTCTCTATTGATACCTCAATCAGGGACAGTTTCTCAGATTTGTCACCTAAAAAGAATGGCTCAAGTGTAGGGATCTCCCCCCACATTGTTTACAGTGAAGACATGATGCAAAAAAATTACTTGCCTTCCTCGAGTGTTCCTTTAGCACCTTGATCATCCAGTGGCTCCACTGACTGGCAAGATTCCTGCTTCTGATGTACTTTAAAAAAAATTTGCTCTTAGTTTTTCTGCCTTCAGCTAGTTACCCTTCAAATTCTTTCTTAGCCTGCCTTGTTTTACTTTTACCCTTGATCAGTGGCA